ACAAAAACAAACTGGGCCAACCCGCACCACGAAACATAACAAACAGTGTTCCAGCCAATAACCGACAAGAAGGATTTGGGGGTGGAGTTTGGGGGGTTAGTGCACGGATGAGGACGAGGGAGGGTCTAGCCAGCCTCCGTTTTGTTTGACAATTCTTCGAACGTCAACAAGAAGTGACGTCGCCCAACATCGCTTAGAGCACCTTTAAGTTCTTCGCAAAGTTGAGCTTCATTGGAAGACCTGCATAATTTATTCAAATTTCAGGTTTATAATTTACCAAAGGTTCTCGTTAAATAAACTCACAATTTTGACTTTATAAAACGCAATTATGAGTTTATATCTTTGGATACATTTTTTGTCATTGGTTGTTGCGTTAAATCTTACCCAGATACAATAGTGCTATTTTCTGATTGGCTATTGTGTAGCTCGACGAACAACACCAGAGGAAACACGCTTGATTCATGCCTGTTCTACAGTGAGAGCGGCGCGGCCAGAGTTTTGGGCGCTGCGGCATATTAAATATATTACAAATAGTTTTTCAGCGTGAGAAATACAATGTGTGGCGGGTGACCGTGACAAAAAACAGAAATGAGTGACTGTCACGCTCAATCGGTCTTTGTCAGGTGACGTCACACTCGTGATACACGAAGTGCATTATGGGGCGTAGCCGCCATTTGTAAGGTATCGATGCAGGGGTATTCTGTTGTTGGAGAATTGTGTTTTTCATTATTTTTTAAAACTAAACCATCCTTAACATGACATTATCATCATCATCAATACAGCAAACCTATCTTTGCTGTTACTACTGTGTCCTTCGGTGGGAATGTAAATAAATCCTGTACTCAGCCGTTGGTAAAATGTCCGTGGGTTTTAAGAGATTTATCGTTTTTAAATTGTTCACTGGTATATGCGCTTATACCATAAACAAGATAGTTGACAATGTCCCAGTATGAGGATGAGAAAGCAATGCGGGATCAGCACTCCAATTTACTGCAGTCAGCTCATATATGGATCTATGTTCTGAATGGATGACAATTTCTCCAAATAACGGTACCTGCCATATTCATCGAGTTTATTGTGGTACGGCATTTCCTCGGTTTTCTTGTGCTTCTCCAGTTTTGCGAGTTATTTACTTGTCATCTCTACTCTTGTAATCTCTTCAATGCTCACAGTCAGTAGCGATATTTCAAAAATGGCGCCTGTGGTGACGTCACACACAACAAACCCACGTGTCTGACAAAGACCGATGCGTGACACTTGAGAGCCCTGCGAGTTATAAAGTCCAATTCTAAGGGGAAAAAAATACTGACTTTGTTCCTCAGAATTGCGAGTTTATATCTCACAATTCTAACTTTATAGCACGCAATTCTGACTTTATATCTCTCAAATTGCGTGTTGTAAAGTCAGAATTGCGAGATATAACATGAAATTCTGAGAGAAAAAAGTCAGAATTGCGAGTTTATTTCTCACAGTTGTGAGTTTATATCACTCAATTCTGAGATGGTAAGGAAAAAAAGTCAGAATTGTGAGATTAAAAAGCGCAATTACTAGCCTGGTTAAAACCAGACCATACAGTTGTAACTGAGTTATGGTCTGGCAAAGCTCATAGACAAATAATTTCCAGAGGGGCGTCACCAACGGATGTCGCTGATAGACCTAAAACCAATCAGAGCGATGAAGGAGATGACGTATGCAGAGCGGTGGAGAAACATCTCCGAGTGTTGTTCTTTGCTCGGTTTTTAACAAAAAGGAAACATTCAAATCGCGTAAAACAGACGCGATAGCTGATTCAAACGAGTGATGTTCGACGGCGGCGTCCATCTTTGTAATGTAGGCTACAAAATCTGCTTCAAAATCCCAGCGCTGTCGTCATCGTGTAAAGCCCTCCTCAACGTATCTGATTGGTGCCTCGATTTCGGCGGATTGGAAATGGGCTTGAATGAGCTCTTTGCCAGACTACTTTCAGAGCAAATCTAAATTTGCCGGAAGTTGTCTGGGTTTTCCCAGGCTACGCAATTACCTTTTTTATGTTTTATTCTGTGGCGGAAACAAGCTTCCATACAAAACTGATCCTCCCTAATCATCTAGATTGTGCTCAGCAGGATTCCCAATTATTGGTTCATTTTCAAAGTGGAGGCAACTTTGTAGATCCTTCCAACACCTGCTGTGGACTTTTGTCCCCAATGTTTCCCTGCCATACCTATTGGGACCACGTACAGTATGCATTTGGTATTAAAACACTCCAGTCGTCTCCTACGAACATACCTGACACCATCCAATGCTAGGTTAACTTGTTGGACTTGTTGACTATTGACTTATCGGACTGCAGAACGTGGCTCCAATCTTCCACACTCCAAATCCTTATGTTCTTTGGCAACTGCTAAGTGTTTTTCTGCTGTTGATAAAACTAATACACGCTTTCTTTACTGATATACACAACCTCTCAATCCAGCTTCTTATAGCCACTGACTTACAGTTCAAGATGAAATTGGAAGTTGGAGGTCTCATTCGGGGCTTTAGAAGCTGTTTTAAGGTAGTCCCACATTCAAGTAAATTTTATCCCTCTGTCAAAGTAGGCATAAAGTACCTTTTTGCAAAAAGTAAAAAGCGAGATTCTGAAGTGTGCATGTGTGCCACATTGTATGGCACACTGTTCACTATATAAGAATATATTATATGTTGTGTGTTCATGTTTACAATAAATATATACATATATATTTTATTTATCTATTTGCAGTAATAGAGATGAAAGCTCATAACTATACGTCTCCACTTATTGGTTACTATCCCACTTTACTATCCCATGAGGCCACTGGACAAGATTGGTAGGTCACATGATAATGACAATATGATGAATGTAGTATGTCCGGATTACATTCATACCACACACACTCATAACTTACTTTTTTAGCGGTTGTGAAGTAGGCTAATTACTTATTCAAAGTAAGTACCAACTCAAGATTTCGAATTTCAGTTACAAAAAGTATTTAAGTGGAATTATAGTTTAATTTAATATTATGTGGGCTCAAATGGAATAAGTACTCACAGTACTCATAAATATTAGTTTTTAAACTTAAAATGTAAAAGGCAATCGGATTCCTCAAATGGTTTGAGTTATCTTAACTTGATAGCACCTTCTACATACTGTCTTCTTTTTTTAAATAAAAAGCGCTGAACTCGAGGGTCTCGAGACACGTTTTGAGACGTGATCCAATAACCAAAATAACAGAAATAGCCAAACAGCAGAAAATATAGCTATTATTTTTGACGTGTAAAAAATAAAAGAATCGCACTGACTATATTGGACCTCGATAAAAAACTGTGTCACCTCTCCGAGAACGACAGGACAGAGACCTGTGACTTTGGATCTGTTTGGGTGGGTTCACCTTTTCCTCCAACAACGTCAAATAAAGCATTTTCCATATCAGAAACTGCAAAGCTCGCAACACTTGCCCCGCCTCTGGGCGGGGTCTCTGATTGGTCCACTGTTTTGGAACTAACATTGATGAACAGCGCTGCATGTAAAAGTTGAAATTCTTTTAACTTGACACGTCAACACGTCACACGTCACTTAGCACCAGATTTTGTGTGAAAATAAATCATAAAAGGGGTTGTTTGTTTAAAAATCCTATAAAAGTATGAGATGGCAAGATGTGCCTTTTAACCCAAATACCAAACTTTTACATATTCTTTCGTTATGCCGTTATTCTGTTATGAAAAAATGTTGCTTTATTTACCTTGAACCAAACTGAAAATCATTAACAAAACCTCAAAATATAGACATTAATTTAAATATCAGATCAAAGTACAGAATCGCTTCAATGATCAGCCAAATTTCCACGTGGACCATCAAAAGCGGTTGTTAAGAAAAGTGCTAAGCTGAATTTTTGTGCCATCTAGTGTTTTAAAAGAGAATAAAATCAAATGCGCCTTTTACCCCGGTTCACCTATAGCCCCGTTTTACCCTACTGTTAACTGTGCTGCATGATAGTTATGCATTAAATCATGTTCACTATATACGAATATTAACTATGTTGTGTGTTCATGTTCACTATAAATATTCGTCTTCTTTTTTTAATCTATTTGCAGTAATAGAGGTGAAAGCTCATAAGTGTACGTCTCCACTTATTGGTTATCAACCAGAACATGTTCCTACACAGTGCACGTCTGAAATCAGGGACATCACAGATAAGAAACTGTGTGAACAACTGCACATTCAACGACAGACACACCTTTCTAATAACTATTAACATTTCACTGGTATAGTATAACAGACAGGGAAAGAGTGTCGGCCCAGATCCGGGCCACATCTGGTGCATGTGGATTCCCTGCGTACCAGATGTGGGCCGGATCTGGGCTGACACTATGTTGCTGACACTGACACTACTTTTTTTAGGGTTCTAAATCAAAATCCCCAAAATCCTTACAACCTCCTGTATAATTTTTTTTTAAATATTCTGCTCGCTCCTTCACCCTGACACTGGAATGTCTTTTCTGACTAAACTAACAGAACTATCACACTGAGGTTTTTCACTTAATTCTTAAAAAAAAAAAAAGAAAGATCCGAATTAATTTAAATCCAGAAAATAAAAACATGTTTGTTATACAGTGTATTCAAGTGTAATAAGAAAAAACAATCTTACTTCATGCCTGCAATCACCATGGCTCATACCAATTACGCATGACCAAATCAAGACATAGGCCCTTGAGATTACCAACAGTGTGTCAATGGCAGAAATAGTTGAAACACGAGAGCTCTATAGATAAAATGACTGTGGTGTGTGACAGGTAAAATGACTGTGTGTGTCAGGAGATCATCTTTCAGGTGAAGTGTGAACTGCAGATAATGAAAGCCAAGAGTCGATTACACAGGGTTAGTGTGTCTGTGATTCACTGAGAGAGCAAGCCTCAGCAAGAGATTGGACCTTACCTTTAACCTTAGCACCAATCAATGCCTTGCTGTCTGCTTGATCTAATCACAGGTCAAAGTCCCTTCCACGAAGCACTATCAACAGTGTCTGTTTGTGCTGCTCACTCTTTTCCTCTAAGCGCTTTGACTTTATCTGTCTCCCCTTCTCCTTGGAGCCTACAGACCTCCAAGGACCTGTTGTCAAATCATGTTTCCACGCGCGTTGCCGTTGCTTCTGCTATGTATCTCCACAGGCTTGGCTGCCACACTTATCCAGGCCTCTGTTGATGGGGCGGCAGAGGATTCGCCTGCTGATGGGTCAGTTTTACCTGAAGCTCAAGCTGGTGATACCCCAGATGTTCGGTTAAATGGGGAGTACCAGGCAGAACACATCTTGATGGCAGATGCCCCTGTTGAGGGAAAACCTGCAGAGACCCAGAGTACCACACAAGAATCTGAGGATGATTCGGACTGGGGCTTCGGTTCTATCAGAGGGAGTTTCCAGGCAGTGAATGGCTATTTTGACTCTATACTGGAGCTGATGGGAGGCCGGGATGGTGTATGTCAGTACCGCTGTAGACATGGTAAGTGAAATAGTATCGTCTCAGTGCACATCGGGTTACACTTCTCAGATCTGAGATTGTGTCACACTATATGCTTTTGACAAAGACGGTAACAATAAAACAGTTCACCCTAAAATGATTTACTCATCACCCTCACATTGTTCCAAACTTGTATTACTTTCTATCTTCTGTGGAACACAAAAAGAGAAGTCCTGAGGAATGTTGACTGTTCATAGTGATCAAGACTGTATATTTCCAAAAGGGGTCATATTGACTGCTTTTATGTCCTTTTTGGATATTTATAGATGTGTTCACCATGAACTGTCATTGAATGTTAAAGAAGAGTGTGTACATTCTTCAAAACTTCTCCTTTTGTGTTCCATTAAAAATAAGAGAGTAAAGAAGGTGAATAAATAATGATTTCATATTAATGTTTGGATGAACTGCATTTAAGTTTAGCTTGTAAAACTTAGTTTAGCTTACAAAGCTAAGTTCAGAGTTGAATATTAACTAATGTGTGATACTAATGAAAAACAGAATTCATTTTGTTGATAAGCTGAAACATCTGAAACATGCCCTCACTGATCTGTACTCAGTCCTCATGTTGACAGATACAGTGTGGCATTGGGCAAGTAGATCACACCACTCTACAGAAAACACTGATGAATCAGAATCATTTTATATCTTGACTCCTTTATATTACTTTTCTGGTTTCAGAATGACAGACTTGCACTCTTTGCTTAGTTTTTCAAAAAAAAAGTGTAAATGGAATGCAAATTAATATAACTTAATGCAACCAGAACAAATCCATACATTGAGCTAATTAGCGGTATGAGTAAGTGCAAATTTTCAATATTCTTAATGTTTAATTTTGCCTGAGAAGGACAGTAAGGGTATCGGCCTATGTACAGTTTTAGCAAAATAATTGCATAATACTTAATGAGGGTTCAAAAGTCCTACTGAACATTTGGTAATTGAGTCTTGACTAAATGCTAAAGCTAAGTTAATAGAGTAGTTGTAGTGTCTAATCTTATAATGAAACTAATATTCCATGGACCATGTCACCTTTTTTTGCAATGATAAAGAACATGCTCTGAATACCAAACATGGAAATGTTTTATACTGTTGCACCATGCAGTCAATTTGAATGCTCCATGTATAAATTAATGCATACCATATATGTTAGATTTATCTGTAATTAATCAGGCAATTGAAATTGTTACAGAGAAAAGAATTACTTAAATCTTGCTTTATTTAGACAGTGGTTTGTTGCTTTGGAAAAAACTGATCACATATGTTTTATTGACATTGGAATTCCCCAGGGCTCCGGTTTAGGACCTCTTCTGTTTTAATTCCATTTGTTACATTTATAGGTAATGTTTTCAGGAATTTGTCAGGAATCTGACTCAATGTTAGATATTTCTCAATAGATGTCTTAAAATGTAATAATACTGAATAAGATTGAATTAATGGTCTATTCTAAAAAGAAAAGGAATTTGCAGGACAAAAATGCATCTTTGGTCTCAAATGTTAAATCTGTAGTATACAAAATATGGTGCTACTTGTTAAGATTCTGCTTTTTGCATTGTCCCTTATTTAATAACAGCTGACAGAGTTGTTTACGACTCAAGAAATAGTTATACACTTTTAAAAATAAAGGTTCTTTATTGGCATCTATTGTTCCATGAATAACCTTTCACATCCAGGGAACTTTAAATGTTCTTCACACTAAGAATGTGGTTATTTTAGGAATTGTTTACTGGAAGGTTCTTTAGGGAACCCAAAATGGTTCTTCTATGGCATCACTGGAAAAAAAATAAAAATAGTAACTTTTGAAACCTTTAATTTTAGTGGATCTCAGGGGTCCACACAACAATATACTGTATATCTGCTTTAGATTTTCATCAGATTTGTAAGAAAAATTCTTAAAGCCACTGTTATGTGAAATGTATTCTACTGAAGATCATTAACAATATTATATATTGGTTTTTTTTATATTAAATATATGATATATTCTATATTCCAATTTTTGTTTTCAGGTAAAGCTCCTCAGCCTCGAGCTGGCTATCAGATGCCAGAACCTGATGGTTGTAGCACCAGTCTTCTTGGTTTCCAGGTACCGAACAGTGTATGTGTCCCTTTATCTTTACTAACATTAACCAGTGGCCAGCCGCCTTGAAGCTTTGCTAAGAACCATCTCCATGAATGACCTGTGGGAGTCCGGCCTATGAAGTGTGCACTGGTCAACAAATCAATCAAACTTGTAATTAAAGGATCCATCGAAATCTAACTGTTAATGTTTACATTAGAGTTAGACAGAAGAGAAAATTAGATCATTTTGTGCAATGTGTATCTGATAACATAAAGGTGGCCCTGCTTGTTTAAATGGAAAAAAAAACACTGATCAATGAACTTTGGGATTCAAAGTACAGTGACTTATATAAAGCGTTGGCCTTTAGAAAAGCTTAATGGAATCAAATCTGGAAAAAAATAATAATAATAATTTGAGGCACTTAGTACTAACAAGTAAACTAGATATTCAAAATCGGAGTATTTTTCTGTTTTCACAACTAATATTATGGTAATATATTTCAAGTAAACCCTAACTTCGAAAAACTGAGTATGGTTACTTTACATCAGACTTGGTTAGACGGTCCAGACGGACCAGACATTAAGTTATAGATTTAAGTTAAAGGCGGCCTGACAAATTTTCAAATATGTGGCTCCTAAACCTGAGAAACTAGCAAGGACTCTGAAGAGAGAGTCAGTTAAGTTTGGCATCCAGCCAAAGCGCTGATGAGTTTGCTGTCAGGAAAGAGGAAGGCAAATGTGCCAAATACGTTCCACACAAGACTCCTGGACAGCCCTCTGTGTAATTTCTGGCTTTTTGTCATAATTATGAAGTTTAAGGTGTCCATTTAGAAAGCAATTATAAAGGCAATATATCTGTATCCTCCTCTAGTATGGGCGACAAATGTAATTGTCTTATGTTTCAACATTATGAATTACGATGCGAGTCTAACCACCATTGTTGCATCCCTTAAATAACCATGACTAAATCAAATCAAGAGTTTACATCTTTTTCACACCAAAGATGGAGCTGGAACTCCTTGCTAGATATTGAAATTGTGTATTGTATTTTAAGCCTGGCACAAAACGAACATGCGTATCACCATAATACAGTATACTTGCAGTCTTTGCTTACATTATATAGTAATTATATAAAATTATGCAATTTTAATTGCTTTGCAAAGTAAATATGTAATCATTACTGATGCAACAGTGCCACTGTCGCCTTTTTCGCCTTTGTTGCACTGGCTTTTGGCTTGCTTAGTTGGGGACATTTATTTTAATATTCAACCATAATATTGATCTGCCTGCATTGACACCATGAGAACTGAAATGAGCTGGACGATGACGGTTTTCTCCAGAGCAGCTATATATATATATATATATATATATATATAAATGAACTAAATTAATAACTTTATTACAACACTAATGAAACGTCACTGAACTTACTTAAGCTGGACTGTGATGCTATTTTCTTCTGAAAACAAACTTTGTTGCATTATTTTCCTGTTATCTCTGTAAAGCGGCTTTGAAACAATCTGTATTGTAAAAAGCGCTATATAAATAAATGTGACTTGACATGTATAGACTTAAAATACAGTACATTATAATTTGAGTTGGGCAGTGAAAGGGTGTACAGGTAGTTCGATTTTTTGTGACTAACACGTTCTTTGTGTGTCTGTTTGTTTGCTAACAGTACAACTAAAATCTTAACCTATTTTCCTTATACTGCATATTCCTCTCTTATTTAATAGACAGCACTGTAGTGTATTACTCTGGCTTTAGCACAACAGTAATACCAATGGTTGTTTTTAGTTAACTGGTTTATTTTGACCAGATTGTAAAAGTTCTAATGTGCATGTTGTGTAATGTGCTGTTACTCCACAGTTTGATATGGGTGTTCCAGCCATGACCAAATGTTGTAACCAGCTAGACATTTGCTATGAAACCTGTGGCTCTAACAAGTACCGCTGTGACACCAAATTCCGCTGGTGCCTCCATAGCATCTGTGGTGACCTGAAGAAGAGCCTGGGCCTCTTGTCAAAGGTTGAAGGTGCGAAATACTCACATATGCAACACACACTTCAACCCTGTTACAAAACCTAGTGAGCTGAGAAACAGAAGCTATTCCAAAAGGTACCTGAGCAGTAGCCAATCCCATAATGCAGAGTGACAATCTCACTGAAAAACATCCATCCACAACGGACTATAATGGACACGAGCGAACGCTACTGCTGAAATATAAATACAGTGAATAGCTGCTGCAAGGAGAGTAGGGAGAACTCTAGCAGATCTAGGCAGGTGGTGCTGGGGAGGGTGGAGGGCGAGTTGAGCCGGTATGGGACGGAAGTAGATTGATTGGCCAAAGCAGTCGGCTTTAAGAGAACCAATCAGCTTCTCAGAAGACTGAACTATATAGGGTACAACGGAGCTAAAGGCTCCTTTGATATTATTTTCCTCTAAACCACTAGATGGCACGAAAACTTGACGCAGCACTTTCCAAAACATCTGCTTTTCACGATGCACGTGGACATTTGGCTGATCCTTGATGCGCTCGCGGGCAGCAATGCAAAGTTGATTCTGCGCTACTTTGATCTAATATTTTATGTTTTTTTAAAACGTTGTAGATTTAAGTAGCAAATGAGAATCGCTAAAATTAATGAATATATTTTGAGACAAAGGTCTTGTTAATGATTTTCAGTTTTGTTCAAGCTAATTAAAGCAACAGTTTTTCAATAACGGAAGAATATGTGAAAGTTTGTTATTTGGGGTAAAAAAGGCACAATAATTAACATGATAATAAATATCAGGCTGACTTTTCCATTTGTTGACATGACTTGGTTAGATTATATTAAGTTGGGTGTCCACCTTACAGATAATCACCATATTTATAATGAAATCGTCATATTTAAAATTATATAATTAATTTAATAATGACTAATCATATAATATAATAAAATATGATTGAATGTTACTACTGTAAATCTTTTGTATTTTTAAAATGTATTTTATATTAACATATTTAAATGACAGTATATTTATTGAACAAAAATGAATTCTTTTATTTATCAAAATAAACAGAAAATAGTGCAAACTTTGCTAAAGTGATTGTTTTGAACAAGTATAAACTTAGAAATGATTAAAAACACTATTATTTTAACACTACATTATTTTAGTATTTGTGTCAATACTTTGTGCCTTTTGCCCCATGCTGGCGAGCCTTGCCACCTCATACATTTATAAGATTTTTAAACATAATAAACCACTTTAATGATTTATTTTCACACAAAATCTGTTGGTCCATAAATGTTCGATACAAACATATTTTTTTCTGCAATCATACACTATGGCAATAGTGAAAAGCTTCTTCTTTTTTGGTGTGCCTTTAGCCCCGTTGTATACATAAGACATAAGATAAGTATATACAGTATATATATATATATATATATATAGCGCAGCAGATCTAGTCCACAAAGACCTTTGCTTTTAGCCCTGTTGTACCATATATATATATATATATATATATATATATATATATATATATATATATATATATATACACGAGAGAGAGAGAGAGATAGGATGCTGCCTTGACAAGATCAAGATATTGGAACAGAGCTATTATTTATTATGACCCAGCTAAAAATAATAAAAAAACATCTTAAACTATAGGAAATCAAATACAAACAGTGCAGAGATATAAAAACACAATATGGATTGTCATTTGTAATAACAAACCGGACAAAACCCCTCAACCTCTTTTCCCTTCTCTCTCTAGCATGCGAGACCTTTGCGGACACCATGTATAACACTGTGTGGACTTTGGGCTGCAGGCCCTTCATGAACGGCCAAAGGTCATCCTGCTATTGTGAAGGAGAAGAGAAGGATGAGCTGTGAAGACCAAACCACAGAAACACACCACATTCAATACATATAAACACTTTACAGGTTTAAACTACTCCACACAATGGGTCAGTATTACCATGAATCTCATTAAAACACACCCAGGTCACATTTCACCACAAAAATTCAAAGAAACAATTAGGCACATTTTCATTCTAAATTCTAATTATTATATTATTTATCATACTATTGTGTCGTATAAATACTACTAATAATAAATATATAATTTTATTTATGTATCTTTATTTTCTTTGCATTGCAGCAAGAGATTTTTTAACTCTTTGGTCTTAAAAAGAGGCACGTTTTATATTTTTGGGGTGAAATATGACCATTACATGTTCTTGACATGTTCATGAGATTCACCCAGTAACCCTGGTGCTTAATGGATCCAATTTAGTTAAATAAACACAAAAGATTTTATATTGCATGTGTAAAAGTGTCCCATAAATGTGTAGTGTGTGTGCTTGTGTGTGGGTTTGTTATATAGGAAGAAAGTATCCATAACAATATCCGCTCAATTTCATGTTCAATAAAAAAAAATATATGTTAAAGTTAATGCTAAAGATTTAAATAAAGAGCTCATTAAAATGTAGAGAACAGGAAAATTGCCATACAAACTTCCCACAATAGCTGACACCTTTTTAACATTTATTGTACTATTAAGAAACAATGTTCCAAACTAATGTTCCAACTTAAGTTGTTGTTTTGTTGTGGCATAATCAAAATAGTGTTTTTTTTTTTTTACCTCAGTAGGGTAGTGATATTTATTTAAACAATATTGTTTAATTGTCTGAATATCATATGCTGAAAACTGAAATGTTAACCTAAACCAAATAGTTTAATTTGGCTTTTTGTTTTAAATGTAATTACATGTAGAATCAGTGTTGAACAGTGTTACACAGGAATGTTTATTGCCCTGTGAGAGACAATGTGACTACAGACTGTGAAAAATACCTTTATTGGCTGTAAAATCATTTTATTTTCCCCATTAGTAAAACAGAATTGAATATAAATGCAAATTATCCATTCAAGATTGTAAAATGCCAGCACTCAGTTTCATGTCCTAAGCTGTATTGAAATGCTCAGACTTACTGTTAATTGCACACACATCACCTACAGTAAATGCATATTTTTGGTCTGGTAGATGAGGTTTATGTTAATATAGTGTCAGAAGCAGTGGAAGGAAGCAAGTGAGATGACTTTAACATATGCTCCTTATATTACTCATAAATGTAAGATTACTAGTATGCATGTATTTAAATACAGTAAAGTAGCCTGCAGATGGCGTTGTTTTCTTTATACAAACTTCCCACAATAGCTGACACCTTTTTAACATTTATTGTACTATTAAGAAACAATGTTCCAAACTAATGTTCCAACTTAAGTTGTTGTTTTGTTGTGGCATAATCAAAATAGTGTTTTTTTTTTTTTACCTCAGTAGGGTAGTGATATTTATTTAAACAATATTGTTTAATTGTCTGAATATCATATGCTGAAAACTGAAATGTTAACCTAAACCAAATAGTTTAATTTGGCTTTTTGTTTTAAATGTAATTACATGTAGAATCAGTGTTGAACAGTGTTACACAGGAATGTTTATTGCCCTGTGAGAGACAATGTGACTACAGACTGTGAAAAATACCTTTATTGGCTGTAAAATCATTTTATTTTCCCCATTAGTAAAACAGAATTGAATATAAATGCAAATTATCCATTCAAGATTGTAAAATGCCAGCACTCAGTTTCATGTCCTAAGCTGTATTGAAATGCTCAGACTTACTGTTAATTGCACACACATCACCTACAGTAAATGCATATTTTTGGTCTGGTAGATGAGGTTTATGTTAATATAGTGTCAGAAGCAGTGGAAGGAAGCAAGTGAGATGACTTTAACATATGCTCCTTATATTACTCATAAATGTAAGATTACTAGTATGCATGTATTTAAATACAGTAAAGTAGCCTGCAGATGGCGTTGTTTTCTTTATGTAGGAAAAGAGATGTTATAGATGTCTCATGGGTCTGGCAGTATCCGAATGGGTCCGCTGGACAGAACGTCTTGCTCTTGGTGCTGGTCGGTCCAGAGATGTCGCCTCAAACGCTTTCTGCAACCCTGCGTACAGCGAGATTCCCCTTGTGCCTGCCCACACACCAGCACACTGCAATGCAGGAACACCTCCTAACACACAGTACGCATAAAATAACTCATTTAATGACCCACTCATTCTCACCCACACTCATTATAGCTACCTCATTAGCACTCAAAAACACATGCATAGGACACACCAGGCAGCTGAATTTCCCAGCATGCACCTGTTCCCTACTCACTCTGTTGTCCTTGCCGATGAACTTGAAGACGGGGACCTGGTAGTGTTTGGAGAGCTGGTCTTTAGCCGAAAGCTGACGCACTGTTTCGTCTGAAATGCAGCTGGGAAACATAAGGCCATTAAAGCACAACAGTCTCTAAATATAGACTCTGCCTTTTTGTAAAGGTGCTGTAAGCAAATTTCCTCAAAATATCACCCATAAATTATACCGATAGATATGACATAACACTCAGGCGTATAAAAAACAGCTAAAAAATGTTTTTAAGCAATTCAGAACACACCATCATACTCTGTGCCTTTTATTTCTCTGTGCCTTATATTCAGGTTTTGGAGAGGGATCTTGTGGTAGAAGGGATATGACGGTCTAATTCAGTGGCTAGTTGAAGTTAGCAAAAAGGCTAAGTAAGGGATAATGCACATTATCGCGCTTATTACACGGCTACTTGCCACATAAGTAAATAATTAGAGATTAAATATTGATGTGAGTTGAAATATTTGATTAGGTCTTTAAACCCTTCTGTGGAGAGAGCAGTTGCTAGCGCAGCAAGTTCAAACTAGATGGACATTTAAGAGATACAGTCATACCACTTATTACACCGCATTTCGCCACATGAATAATTATGGAGATAAGAAATATTGATTTCAGATTAAACTGTTTTAAAATCGTAGTGATTTTATCTCATAATCCAAAAGTGTACAAAACAGTAGTCACAAAATGGCGGCAGCGTTTATATGAAACAAGAGAGAGAAAGTCCACGATACTTCATGGCATAATTAAATAGCTGTACACAAAATATTGATTCGATTTGATATTGATTTTATTAGCTAAACAAATGCAAAACTTCCACGAAGACAAACCATTCCTAGCAAGCGTATAGCGCTGCTGACTTCAGTAACCCGGATGAGTCTTTGTTATCTGTTTTCAGCGGTTGTTATCTGGGAATACAGTACATACCGCTGGATGGCGCGATTGACCAATCAGAATCAAGCATTCCACAGAGCCGTGTAATAAAATGACTTATAGCACCAGTCATGGAGTATACAGTATGGTATTGTGAGCATACAGAACAGTATCCCTTCATATTTGAATTCTTTTGAATACCTACCCATCTTTGATGAGGTAATATTTTAAGGCCTGGTCAGCCTTGGGACCAGGTGTGGCAAAACAGCTTTCAACAAAGGCAGCAAGGCCATCCACCCGCTCTCGAGGCTCAACGCCGAAGTACAACGAGTCACGCAACCGCAGTTGAGGAGGTTGGTTGTACGGTTCAGAAAATTCTGCGCTTTTAAACAGCTCCAAACTGAAGGGGAATATCCCTTCGCTGTGTCCTGCTAACTCCAGCGCTGTTTTGCTCAGACTCGGCAGGTATCCGTCTGACACTTCGTACTGCCGCGGAAACTCGCACGTAATTGGCAGCAGTAGTTTACTGGTGCGCACGATCAGATCACCATTGTTGCTGGGACTGGACCGGGGCAACCCTGTCACCAAGTTGGTGCCAACGATTTTGTCATCAATCACCTGAAGCAGAGAGAAAGGGAAAGGATTTTCCACTACATTCACAGAGAACTATCAAGTATTTTATAAGTCAACATGTAATACTGTTTCCCATGTATTTTACTTGACAGTGAGGAAAAAAATGTAGGCTGGGATTTTATCCATTAGGGCTGCAATGAATGGAACCAGACCTGAATGCGAGCTTGTTGTGGTTTTTCAAGGAACACCACTTGCCTTGCAAGTACTGTACTTTTGAGGAGACCTTAAGTCTAGCCCTAAGGCTTGCTCTATGATAAATCTTGGTAAGGCATTATTGACATAACAGTACGACTCTCTGTAAAGCTACTTTGAAATGATACGCATTGTGAAAAGCACTTTGCAAATAAATTTGACTTGACGTTTTGACCAGGACGTGGATGTGTTCACCCTTTGGAACGATATAATCCAGCCCGTTCTCATCCCAAGGCGTCATACATGTGACGCTTTTGACATTTCGTCTAAATCCGACGCACATGGCATACTTTAGCGTCAATATGAGACGCAGATCCCAAGGCGTCATAACCGTAACCCTACCCCAGACCTAAACCTACCCATAACAGTGTGTTATATTGACGCTAAAGGATGCCATGTGCGTAAGATTTCGACGAAATGTCATATGGCGTCACCTATATGACGCCAAAGGATGAGAATGTGTTGCATATTCCAATAGTAAGGGTTATTTTTTGACTCTAGCATGATTTGATGTTATTGCCATAACACCGGCATTAAATTACTCCGTTAAAAAACTATTTGTGTATTGGTTAATACTAACTAATCTGTTTTAGTCATGTGACATTTCTGCTCAACTGCCACATTTATTACCATCAGTGGAACAAAGTAATGCCAGTGAATACAAAACACACGAACAGACATTTTTGTCTTGCCATCTCTATTTATGTTTGTTCGTTCGTTTGTTTTTTGTCACTGCCATTACTTTTCCCCACTCAAGGCCATAAATATGATGGATAAAAGGAGAATGTCACATGACTTGCACAGGAAATGTCAGTTAAAAAGGATAGTCTTTTTACAAATGGAGCAACTTTATTATTAGATCACGAAGATCTATTAATCATGTACAATAACACCAAAAATACGCATTACGGAAGTAAACAGGGTTAGTCTAGATTTCACGTTGACTGTCAAATCAAAGCTTGATAGATCCATAATAATTTTTTACCTGGACCACAGTGCCACAGGTCTTCAGACTAAAGTGGAGGTTAATGTGAGTGCCATTGGAAATGCCACGGCAGGAAGTGTTTGACA